ATGCATTGAAGGACAATGGAACATGGAAACATGGCGAAAGAAAATTATCTGGGGAAGAAAAAGAATGGCTCAAGAAGCATGGCTGGGTACTACCATAGGAAGACGAAACAGAACGAGCCAGACCCGCCTTTGAAGATCGTAAATCTACTTTAGATTTCCCCAGCTCATTTTTTTCATTTTTTGACAGTTACTAAAGGCATGCCTAACATATTTCTTTATTTTTTTCATATTATTATTCAAGCTTTACACCTTTTATTTGTGTTGATTATTTTTTAACCTGAAATAACAACACAAACCTTATTTGTTCTCGAGCATTCATTAAAGTATAAAAGATGTTAGAAATCTAGAGAAGTTATAAGGACGTTTTTTTGCAGCGAGAGGTATGACATGCATAAGTCTAAGAAAGTGATAGCTCGGCCCGATAGAGGTTGGACGGAACGAGAAAAGTGAAAAAACAGCCCGAGATTATACGTGGTGAACCCAAGTTACGACAGAACAGAATAAGAATCTCCTGTGCTAAATGATAACCAGCATTTGGAATGGAGCTCCGTTATCCTTGCGGCTCATTCTCAAAAGAGATACAATTTATGTTACTTCTATAGAGATTAGAGAAACAGTCTTTATCACTATTTGCCTGCGTAGCTATTTGAACCTTTCATAGCTATTTAATCTTGTAGCTTTATTCCGATGAATAGTTACTTAAATCTCCAGCACTATTTAATCTTTTCAAGCACTATTTAAAAATCTGTACAGCTATTTAATCTTCTGCTGGCTAATTAATCTTTTCTTCTTCTCATTTTAAATAGCTACAGCTATTTAAACTCCGTCAGCACTATTTGAAAACGCTCACAGCTATTTACTCTTCTGCTAGACATTTAATGTTTTCTGCGGAATCTTCTCTCTCATTATTGGAAAATTTTCAGGGCTATCTTAGGTTTTCTGTTGTCCTTCAAATAACTACAGCCAATCCAACATATGGTGCACTGTTTAATGAATTGTCGTCGCTATTTAAATCTTTGCTAGCTGTTCAATCTGTTCACTTTATTCTTATGATTGTAGAATCATTTTGAAGAACTAACGAATAATTATATCTTATTGTAGGATTTGGAAGGTTGTTTTTAAATAGCACTGATTTTTCCCGAGCAGAGCGTGGGTGTTTTGGCTGGTATCTAAACCGTCTTCGTGAGTTGATTCGCTTTGCGGAGTGTGGTGTGTCGTTTGTAGGCCGTTCTCTGGTGCTAATTTGTTTTTAAATTGGTCGCGTGATGAATAACTATACTTTGTGGAATTTGTTCTGTAGAAGGAACCGAGATTTTTGTTATCCTTACTCCTGTAGAAGTGGTTTATTGATGGACGTTAGATTAAACTTTTCAATTGCATCAATGTTTCAATGTATCAACATTGTGTTTGTATGCATACACTGCCTTGTGTTACATTTTCACTTCACTTGCATTGAGAGGTATGCTGGTATGCATTGAGTGATTGTATGCGAGTTTTTCTGGAAAAGGGAAGGAGTCTATTGAATATCGTAGTTAACCATTAATTTAATTCTTGATGGTAGCTGGTCTTCAGAGATCTTTGTTATTGATTATGCTTTGATAGAATATTCGATTAATCAACATGTACTCTTTATAACAGAGTTACATTGATTCAAACGCAAAGGAAATTTGGCAATTGACTACGTTGAAGCGTTTAGATACATAGAATAAGATTTCTTTAAAATTCGAGTTTTATGACGTCTTATTAGGTGAAATTTGTTATGATTAACCACGTAAAAAAGGAAAAAGCGTAAGGATAAAAATGAAAAGTTCGACAATTATCAAAATCATTAACTGTAGTAGATATCTGCGTTGTTCAAATAGCTATGTTAAAAACTAAGATTTTAAATAGCTCGTTGATTGCAAAAAGTAGGAAGTTTATATAACTTTTTGAAACTGGTCAATATCTATTTAAAGAAAACAGACAGCTACGAAATGATTTGAATAGCACAAAGGACACCGCCAGATAAGGTCGTAAATCTGCCACCCCTCCAGATCTCATTTTCGCTCGGATAGAAAGATAGAGCATGAAATTCTGCACATTTCTGTATATTTAGTTTTTCTTTTACATCCAGTAAAAAACATTTTCGCGGACCAAACAGTCTTAGGGGGTCTATCACTTTTGGACATTTCGAATAATAACTATGGTACTTGTAATTTTTTCTACTGTACACCCAATATAAAAACTAATAGCGTAGATCGACGCAGTTTTTCATGCTCTACAAAATGACATATTGATCATAGTTACCGTTAACTTCTTTTGGGATCATACAGATACGATAGATACGATAGATACGATTCTCATATTACATAGGCGAATTTTCATCATTTTGTAGGGTGCTGTTATATTTAAAAAGCCATAAGCAACTAAAAATCTTAGTAATCAAAAAACTGCGCCGTCTCCTGCTCTATCAATCTATATCGTTTTCAGAAAAATCCATTCTGTCCAAAGGCTCATTCTCATCGAAACATTGTAAGAAGGTAACTGTAACGGAAATTTTGATGGTGGAAAATATTTCTAATCGATGAATATAAGTTGTGAGAGGAGAACTGGTGTAAAACGTTCGGACAGCACCGAAACGTAATGATTTATTGAATAATAATGAGTAAAAAATAACAATAAATGATTTGAGTTGACACAGCAAAATACACACTATGTTCTGCTCGTATACATACAGCTTCTTCACTAAGCCTAGGTTTCAGACTCTATTCCGTTTTCGAGTCTCAATAACAATTCAGAATGACTTCTAAGAACATGCGTTTCGATAATCTCGAATGCGTCTTACTCTAACTGGATACAACTATGAACTGCTTATATCAGAATATCTCAGAGAGAGAGAAACAAAAAAAGAAAGAGAGAGGGAGAGGAAGAGGAAGAGGAAGAGAGATCAAGAGAGAAATATGGAAAGTTATCCAAGGAGAGAGAAAATATACCGAGAGGAAAAGAAACAAGAAGTAGGGAAGAAAAAGATCACGTATTATTGAAATGAACAAAAGAGGGTCGCTCAAAAGGATGTCCGTCTATTCTCTTGGCACACAATCATTATTAATTTCAGCTTTCGTCTGTTCATACCATAATTGTTGTTCATCATTGAAATATGTAGTTGCTTGGAACACACGATGTGATGTTGGATATTCCAAATCTTCATATACATTATGTAAAGCAGATAACCATTGATCTATATGAGTCATTTCTTCTTCAGTCAATTTTTTAATAGATTGTAAAACTATTTTTTCTTGCTCTCTGAATGACTGTAATTTTAACTTGGTGTCCGATGGAGATATCGAATCAGAAATTTTTTTTTCTTCCAGTAATTCTAACGTTGATTGAGATGTTAACATAGCTGCTGATAAATTTTGTTGAAGTAATGAATGAATTCCTGATGGTTGACAAACGGAATAAGAACTACTACGTTTTCGAGAAGGAGAGTAATATAATAAATCAGAAATATCACGTTGTTGTAAATTTAAATGTGAACGAGTACGATTGTACATCAAATGTACCAATAAACATCTTTAGTAACTAAAAAAAATGATAAATAATCTGTTACACATTCTATAGAAAATGGTAGTGCCTTCAGTTCACTATATAATTATTGACAGAGACAATCCTTAAAGAGGGAGGTTTCTAAAATTATCCAACGTGAATGTCGATCACAAAACCAGTTCCTATATAAGGAAGGTTTCTTTGTTTAATAAAATATCGTTGCTGCTTTAAAACGAATGTTGTTGTTCAAAACACCGCTGTCACCACTTGTTATGCTTTAGTTTGACCTGAAAGTTCGTTTTGAAGTAAAGCATAACCTATCTTTATTTAAAATAATCTGAACTGAACTTACTAGGCTACATATCACACAACAAAACATATATCATCAGGTAGAACAAAAGAAGAAAGAAAATACGACAGAAATATAGAAGACATGGACATAATAACAATATAGATGTCGGACATAACAACTATGATATGAAAATCAAAATAAAATAGAGCTAAGGACAAAAAAAAACTATATTTAAGACCATTTAATAATGACATATGCAAGAACAATATGTCACGTTTCAATTTTCTCAAATCGATGATATGTATTTTTTATAATAAATGAAATATCATTGTTTGCGAAATACAAAACGAATAATAGATTAAGTCATTGATTTCAAGGACAATAAACTAAAAATGTATCTTATTAACTGTGTGAAAATTTTCTGTATTACTCTAATTTACATTTGCTTATATGTGTTCGTCTAGAAATTTAACAAAATTTGCTTTGCAAAACTTGAAATATTCATTGTTCTTGAAAGCAAAAGTAGGTCACAATAGCAACAAAAGCATTGTCACTATCAGATGGCATTTTTTACAACGATGACTTTGTTGCTTTATAGGTTTATTTTTTCAATGAATTAAAATATACTCATTCGTAATGAAACGTTTTAATGAGTAATTATTTAACAAGGAGTATTTTAGTAACAAAGTGGAGTAAAGTAGTCAGAAATATGAGATCAGTCACGCTTGTGTTAACTTTTTTCGGTAATGCGAGCGAAAATAAGATGAAGAATAATAAATTCCTATACAATTGCTATAAAAAAAAAACGTTGTAAATACAATGTTTATCTAAAATCAAATCGAAGTCCATATTTTGATACTTACAATCTTAAATTCACTAAATTTTTGATGATTTAGAAAATTTTTAATTATTTTGTTACTCTAAGCAGAAGGATGAATATGTTGATCTTCTCTTCTTCCACACCCACATCCATTCTCACTAATATTTGTGTTTATGCAGCTGATTACTTAAAAATAGTTCGAATTTTGATGACTGCTGTTAAGTCCAACAAATGAACAATATGCTATTTTTTAGGTCTTTTATTTCACAAATGAAAGTATAGTTAAACTTCATAATTATTAGATTTATCGACATGATCGAATTGAAATAAAATCATTGGTCATTTAAAACTTTGAGGTAGAACTTAAGCATCGAAAAGTAACGATACGTCTAGTTTCTTGTCGATCGTGTAACGTTTGAGAACACCTTTTGGAATATAATTAACTAACAATCGGTTCATTAATTCATCCTTTTCTTTTTCAGGCAAAAACGATGATCGTGCTGCATTGAATACACATTGAGTGAGCTGCGCTGGTGACAATTTGAGATCGACTAATGCATGTTTATATTCATGTTCAATGGTAATCTGTGATACAGATGGATCATCGCACGATAATGAAAAATTGAGATGATCTCGAGCAAAATGATGAAGAGGATGCCATACTTCTTTTTTCGATTTCATATGTAAGTGAAGTTTGGTATTCGTTTCTTGACCATTCAACATAAAATGTTTTTCTTGTATATCACAATCTTTCGGTGCATATTTGCCGACGGCATTCGTTTGTAATGATGATGTTAAACAACATTCAAGATGGATATCTCTGCTATGAATGAGTTCATATACGGATGGATCATCAATAATGGCATAACCATGCCCGATTCGTTCAGCATGACATTGTTCAATTGCTTGACGAACAGAATCGGCCGAACCTGACTCACCAGCATGCACAGTACGATGTATGCCGAGTTCAGTAGCACGCTGAAAAGCAGTCACATGAGGAGCAACGGAATGTTCATACTCGTCGCCAGCAGCTAGATCTATACCGACTACACCCGCTGATCGATATTTGTGTGCAAGTTCTACAATTTCCATTGACCTATAAGGCAAACGATGACAAAGAAACTCTTTATTTCAGTGTGCTAAACAAAATGCGACGGCACATATGTCAATGATCCATCTTGAGGATGTGGGTGTGGGTGTGGATTTATCGTCTCTTAAACCATACCCACGCCCACCCTCCTCGAGGAAAGTAGTGCATAGCTAGCATTTTGTTTCAAACTCTCGTTGGAAACGCTATGTGAAAGATATGAAGAAAGAAGATATAGTTCTTGTCGAAACGATGAAGGAGAAGAGAAAAGACGATTTAATTCATCTTCGATCATAGGGCAAAATGTTTTAGATTTAAAAAGAGCTTTTCATTGTCGCTCGCTGCGTAGAATGTTTTTTTCGTCTCGTTCATCCCATTAGGCGTCTTTATCTGTGCATCCGCTTTTACCGAATCAAAATCTATATTTCTAAAGGTTGTTAAAAGAGACTCTGCACAGTCCTGAAGTCGAAGAAAAAATTCAGATAGCGAGCCTTCGACGTAAAGAAATGGGGACCATAAGAATACAAAAAAGTTACTCGTGGACTTGAAAATTTCATCCAAGTTTTAAAAAAAAAGCATTTGTTAACTTTGAACTTTAAAAGTATAAAAACATTCAAACTCCACAAAGAAAGTTGAGCCTTCCTGGATGAAATGCAATAGCTATGAGCGAAGTTGTCAATTTTTTATAAAACTTTTCTGCTGTTGCTCTGATTCGAACCAAGTTAAACTTTGGTATCATCTGTTTCATAGAGTTCTCTACTTATCTAGGTTTCACTAAATTGCAATGCTGTGAGTATCTTGGAGCAACTGATCGTAAGCACGCAGTGTGTTGTAGACTGAGAAAAACTAATTCTTCTTACAGAACTAATATCAATTACATAGCAAAATCCCTCGAGTCAATCAACATACCATTCAGGATGTGGACGTATGCAACACAGTAGCGTACGAACGTCGACATGGAATTCCTTTTTGCCGCGTTCCAACCCACAATTGATTGCTTCGATAACCTGTTCACAGAAATTCGTTTCAAATTGTAATATAAAATTCGAGAAGAAAATAAACATACCTGTTCAGGTGTCAGGATGTTGGCTGTCAATAAATGAGGACTATAGCGAGCTTCAGTGTAGAGTACACCTTGCACTGCTTGATCTTCGACAAACTCATAAGCAACACGTTCCAAAGCGTCAGCATCACCGGCGACGATAGAAATAAAAAAAGGAAATTTTCCGAGGAAGTCGGCGAGCGATTTGCAATCCGACTGAACGCAAACATATCTTTAATTTAACAGAAATGGAATTATATCATGTAATATATTTTAATTGCAATTACGGTATGAAATCTTCAATTGTTCTTTTCATCCCGCTTGGAAGTGGAATATCTAAAAATGGAAAGAAAAAATCACACGAGCATGTTTGACTAAGAAAAAGGAGTACCTTTCTTTTCAGCCAACTCGAACAAGGTCGAATGTCGAAAGGAACCATCGAGATGGATGTGAAGCTAGATGGAAGAGGGAAGGACATTTTTTAAATAGATAGAATATCCTACTTCGACTAGTGTAGGTACAAAATGGCTTAGTGGATGTCGATTATGATGCGATGTGTGATGGTGATGATCGCAAGTGTTCGGATCGATCAACGTGCCAGGAAGAAGCTTTTCGTTATCATCATTCATTTGGTTGTTGTTCATTGTGAGTGCAGCAGGACAAATATCTATAGTGAAGAAACAATAACTAGATAAAATTTATTATAGAGACATGCGAAGCGAATGTATAGTTCAAGCTAAATTTAACTGGTGACAGTAAAATAAAAGTTCTTCATATATTTTAACCTGGATTCGGACGAACTTTGTATCATTTTGTAGTCCATGTATTTCTCAACAAGTCTAAACTAGTACCAGTAGTTTAGACTTGTAGAGTTGGACGAGCTGATCCTTTTTCGTAGGAAGAGTAACTTGAAGAAACATTGAGAAGTAGTCGAAAGTTTGATTTTAATAGGCTCAGCTATCTTGTTGGTGACAGGTATTTTTTCTATTTCGGAGGATGGTCGAGATACAGAAAGCAAAAAAGTGTACACATTAGTCCCACATGTCTCTACATTCGACGGACTCCGTTTCTGTTCGGGAATACACGATCATTTACTCATAAATGTAAAATCAAATATCGTATCTGTGAAACACACTTCTTTATTTCGTCGACAAACGCAAGAAAAAGAACCTATCCAGATAACTTTTACTGTGAAAAATGTGGTAAGTAGAAAGGGATAGAATGCATGTAACTTCGACTTGTATGTTTTATCTTTTTTTGCTGTTACAATGAGACTTACCTGTGAGTTGACGTAAAAAAAAGTGAACTGACAGGCGAAAATGAAAATCATATCTCTGGTATGATCTTTGTTCTATGGCAGATAAAAGAATGTGTTCTTCTTTTTTGCATTTTATTCATAAGGCGAAAGATAAAGAAGTGAAAAATACCTTGAATGAGACGAAGAAAAACCAAACAAGGGTACGGGTGTGGGTGAATGAAGATTTGGGTGTGAACATTACGTGTCTTTTAAACTAACACTCTCATCCTCCAGTTAAAGTCAGACTTTAGCTTTAACGTTTACAGTAAAGCTAAAGTGCCACATCTAGTCGAAACTTACCCCTCATGTAACTTATCTATGATCGTCGGATCATTTTGAATACTTCCGGAGTGGGCGTGGGTGTGGTTGTGGATGTGGGTGTGGGTGGGTGTGAGTGTGGGTGAGCGTGTGGGTGTGGGTGTGGGTGTGAGTGTGGGTGGGCGTGGGTGTGAGTGTGGGTGGGTGTGGGTGTGGGTGTGGGTGTGGGTGTGGGTGTGGGTCTTGGGTGCGGGTGTGGGTGTGCGTGTGGGTCTGGGTGTGGGGTGTGGGTGTGGATATGTGTGTAGGTGTGGGTAGGTGTCGGCTGGCAGTGCCCGTGTGGACGTGGGTGAGCGCTTGCAGGTCGTATTGTGTCATTAGGAGTAGACAAATAGCCACTCCTAACAGCCACAGCCACACCCACCCATACTCAGACTCTAACCCTAGCCATACTGAGGCCTCACCAGCACGTACAGTCACATTCATACCTACGAAATCTTTTAAACTGTGACCAGTAAGGAACGACTCTTCTTTTGCAGCTGTCAGTGCGTAAGACTGAAATAAACATTCCGATCGACACCCCGCCGAGACGCAATAGAATACGAGTAAGGATTATTCTGAGGGTGTTTTAAGCTGTTCTACAATGGGACGGTTTTTCGTTTTTGTTTCATTTCGCGGAAATATAGGTATTGTAGGCGAAATACATCATCATTTTATGATATTTGTGCGCATTGATGAGTAAGCACAATAGATAGCGATGCTGAACAATCGAGACATAAATAAATTGCTGTAAGCATAATTGAAGAAATGCTTGTTTGTTTTATGTTAGTAAAAGAAGCGAAAGATTGAATTATTTAAAGGAAGTGGCGATAGAAGAGAAATTTTAACTTTGTGTATTCAGAAGAGGTGGATAATTCGTTTATCCACAGCAGTAGCGCAAAATAAAAACAGCTTCACATTGATATCGAATAGAATATCAAAAAAACTGTTCTGGTCAATTTTTGAAAGGGAATTTTGGATAAAAATTAGCAGTTCAAACCGATGTCTTTTTGCTTATGGAAGACTAATATTAAATATTCAGATATTTTTATGATTGAAATAAAATTTCTTTTATGAATTATATTGCCAATAGGCCCGTGACACCTTCCAGTTCTACGAATTGATTCTTTTCTGAGAAGCAGGCCTATGCACCAGTTCTTTTTTCAGGAGCTGGCTTGTTTCCATATTGGGACAAAGGAATTTCATATAGTTTCCGCACCAGTTCTTTTCAAAAGAACTGTGGAAAGAGCCGATTTTCAATTTCGTTCCACGAAGTGTCACAGGTCTGATTGTAAATACATAAATATTAATTATTGCTGCTAAAATGTTTTTAAGAAAAAGAAAGCTTAAATATATCATTTATAGATAATCTTATGCAGCATATTGCATTTATGAGGATAAGAGGTTTTTTAGATAAACCTGATTGAAGTCATATTTCTTTTCGTTTTGTTACCAGGCATTATTTTGGAAATGTGAAACAACGTACAGTAAGCTAGCAGAGTAAAGCCAAGCAAGACCTCTGAATATTTCATCCAATATGTGAGTTGCTATGATGTATCTTACATTGGCTTCTCTTTCTAATAACTTTTATTTATGCGGTGATTCGTGTTTATTCTTAGTGTTCTCAGTAATAGAAAAAATACCCAAAAAAAAGTTGCTTTCTTGTTATTTTTTTTCAATAAAAAAAATCTAAAAAAACGAAAAAACCCACTGTCTGCTGTACATTTTTTTATATACAAGTCATTCGAACTGAATTTCTTCATTTTTTTCCTTGCAAGGTAAGAGTTTTCATTCCCTCTACTGAAAGGAGGGTCATACACCGAGTTAGGTTTGTCTGTTCGTAACTTCGTTCGTTCGTTCACACAGAACGAAAAAATGTTTTCTTGACCTATCACATCATCGATCTTACAAGAAAACGTAACCTTAGCGATTGGATTAGTCTACAGTCCCTAATCCCTCGACCAACCAGATGTCTGCTTCGTCTGCATCCCAGCCAATCAGATTTCCAGAGTCGCCATTTGGACGAATCATACGTTTTCACGCTCTGGCTATGCGCCAATCAGATTTCCAGAGTGGCCATTTGGACCAATCATAGATTTTCACAGTTTCGCTATGCACCAATGAGATTTTGAGAGTGGTTATTTGGACCAATCATAGGTTTTCACAGGTTGGCTATCTACCAATGAGATTTCGAGGGTGGCTATTCGAACCAATTATAGATTTTCACAGTTTGGGTATGCACTAATTAGATTTTAAGAGTGGCCATTTGAACTAATCATGGGTTTTCACGGTTTGTCCAAGCACGAATGAGATTTTGAGGGTGACCAATTAAATGTATCATAGCTCTTTTTTTAATTTGGCTATGCGCT